TGGGAAATCCATTCCAGTGCCTCAGCACCCTCAGAGGAATCCTTATTCCTTCCCAATATCCCACCTGTCCCTGCCCTCTGTCAGTGTGAAGCCATTCCCTGTGTCCTGTCCCTCCAGGCCTTGTCCCAAGTCCCTCTGCAGCTCTCTTGGAGCCCCTTTAGGCACTGGAAGGGGCTCTGAGGTCTCCTTGGAGCTTCTCTTCCCCAGGGTGGATACTCCCAGCTCTCCCAGCCTGGCTCCAGGGCAGAGGTTCCAGAATCCTGGAATGGCTTGGGTGGGAAGAGGCCTTAGAGATGATCTATTCTCACCCCCTGCCATGGGCAGGGACACCTTCCACCAGCCCAGGTTGCTCCAAGCCCCATCCAACCTGGGCTGGAACACTCCCAGGGATGGAGCAGCCACAGCTGCTTTGGGAAATCCATTCCAGTGCCTCAGCACCCTCACAGGGAGGAATTCCTTCCCAGTATCCTATCTAACCCTGCCCTCTGCCACTTTAAAGGCTCTGCTGGCCCTTTGGGGTGCTCACCCTAAGCCTCATGTGTGTGTACACTGGAAGACCCTCCCAGCCATTGCATCACTTGAAAAGCACGAGCAGTGCACAGTGTTTTGTTCCTGAATGGCATTAGACATTTTGTTTGGAATAACTGGAATGTCTGAGCCTCCCAGCTGACCTCCTGCCTTGGATCTGTGCCCTGCTGGATCTCTCTCTCTCTCACTTGGGTTTCATTTGCTCCATGGTGGATCCTTCCCTGAGGGCCCTTTGTGCTGCCCTTGTGGTTGTCATCATGATGACAGAGTTTGCTGGCCCAAACATGCAATTCCTGCTTTCACAGCAGCCTGGAGCCATTGGAATGATCCCTTCCTTCTGTTTTGGGTCAGCTCTGTAATTTAGGGTCTTTGGCTTTTGGGTTGACTTTGCATTTTGGGTTAGCTTTGGCTTTTGGGTTGACTTCGGCTTTTGGGTTGGATGATGCCGGTGGAAACTGGTATTTTCCCCTCCTATTCCTCCTTTCCTTCTCTTTCTTCTTCTCTTTCCCCCTCTTATTTTTGCTTTGTGCATCTCTTGGTGTCTCAGATGGGTTTGGCCTCCCTGCGCATGTGCTGATCTTAGTGCTTCCCACTTGGAGATGACACTTAGGAAGTGTCACCAACTTGGGATCAGCTCCAGAATAATTTGGATTGGTTAAAACATTCCTTGAGCCACCAATTTAGCATCTCTCTACTCCAAACTGTAAGTACAGTGTCAAATACAACCATTGGGATGTGAAGGAAGAGGAATTAATGTTGTCTCCATGATTTTCCTGAGCTAAATTCATCAAATATAAGCTTAAAGAAATCATCAGAACAGCAGCACTGAAGACACCATCCCAGAATGGACCAGAAAAGCTGCTGGTTGAGCTTATGGTGGGAAGGAAAACAGCCTTCAAGACCCTGGTGGCCCACCCATGTCCCACCTCAGGGTGCTGTTCCCTGGTCACATTCCTTTGGTGTCACCTTGGCTGAGTCACAGCAGCCTAAGTGTCCCTCCAAGGTGAGGGGGATGGGAGAAGCCCCAGACTAGGGTTGTGCAATGGGTGGTGATGGTTTGGAGCTGGGAGGGACCTGCCCAGGCACTGCTGCTCATGCCCAGCTATGCTGTCTGAGCAGCTCCACCAACTCCACCCTGCGCAGGGCTCAGGAGGAGCTGGAGGTGACCTAGGGTCACCTAAGGGGGGCAACCAGTGGCACACACTGTGGGGTTTTGAGGGGGTTCATGCTCAGATTGTTGGTGCTGTGCTCCATGAATCCTGCTGACCTCCTGCTCTGAGGAAAATCAAACAGGAGAAACAGCAGGAGGCATCTGCACCAGCTTCAGGGGCTTTAAACTGGCAGAGAGGAGGGTGAGATGGGATATGGGGAAGGAATTGTTCCCTGTGAGGGTGCTGAGACACTGGCACAAGTTGCCCAGAGAATCTGCGGATTCCCCATCCCTGGAAGTGCTCATTGCCAGCTTTGATAGGGCTTGGAGCAACCTGGGCTGGTGGAAGGTGTCCCTGCCCACAGGGGTGGGACTGGATGACCTTTAAGGTCCTCCCAACCCAAACCATTCCAGGATTCTAGGATCATGATGATGTGGCCTGAGCAGGCCCCAGGCCATAGCTCAGCATGCTCAGGCTCTTGTTGGACCCCATGAAGGTCAACAGAAGTTTGGGATGATGCAGAGGAGGCTGCAGGCTGTGAAGAAGGCAGAGGCTTGTTGGGGACACCTCAAGAAAGGCATTTACTGAGCTACTGCACCAAATTTAGCAGCTTCTGAGGAGAATGTTCCAGTCCTCCATGGTTGGCTGGTGGTAAGTCAACAGGAAGGCCTTGGATTGGTTCCTTTTTGCATCCTGCGGCCCAGGAATGTTGAATTGCCAAACAGGGAGACATGGGCAGATGGAATAAGTGTGCTTATCCTTCATACAACAAACGATGGGGCAAGAGGGAACTGCCTTAAGTTGCACCAGAGGAGGGTTAGGTTGGATGTTAGGGAGAATTCCTTCCTGGAAAGGGTGGTCAGGCAGTGGAACAGTGCTGGAGTCACCACCCCTGGAAGGATTTAACAGCCACATGGATGTGGCACTTGGGGATATGGTTAGTGGTGGTCTTGGCTGTGCTGGGTCGGACTCATTGGTCACAGAGCCTTTTTCAAACCAAACCATTCCATGATTCCATGGTCCTGTGCCCTGTCACACTGGAATAGAGAGTGTGGCTGCATCCACCCCCATGCAGGGTACAGCACAAAAGGTTCCTTTCATGCTGGAAGCTTTGGCATCTCCAGGGAAAGCAGAAAAACCTGTCCAGGCCTTTGTTGCTGGGAACAGAGGACACTTGGGCTCGGTGATATCTCAGCTGTCTCCTGTGAATGAATGGGCCACTGTCCCCAGGGGGACCTGGCCCTGTGCCCAGGACTCAGCTGGTCCCTCTGTTTTGGCACCAGAGAAGCTCAGGGTGGGTGGGAATGTGGCTGAGGGAGGAGGGACATGTGTGGGAAAGGTGAGGGCAGGGGGGCAGGGCCAGGCAGGAGGATCCATGGGGGGAAATACAGCAGGAAGCAGAGAAGCACAGGATGGTTTGGGTTGGATGGGACATCAGTGGTCATCTTGGGATTGCCTGGGGAGCAAAATGCAGAATAGAGGGGAAATTTAGGTGGGATAGTGATGACGAATTGTTCCCTGGGAGGGTAGGGAGCAGCTGTGGCTGGTCCCCTTGGGAGTGTTCCTGGCCAGGATGGATGGGGCTTGGAGCAACCTGGGCTGGTGGGAGGTGTCCTTACCCATGGAACAAAATGAGTTTTAAGGTCCTTCCAACCCAAACCATTCCTGGATTCCCTGATTCTAAGTTCACAGCCATCCATGGTGGCATATATAGGCAGTATATATACTACACCACCAGGGAATGACTGAGAACAGACTCCAGCCCAATCTATCATGTTGTTCCATGTGGAATTCCATGTCTGTTGTGTCCTGCAGGTTCCTAGAGGTGGAGCATCCCAGGCTTAGCAAAGCTTCTCGCACGTTGGCCTTTGTGTACCCATACCTCTTCGACAGCATCCCCCTCTTCTACAGGGTAAGGCTTCCACACCTTCCCAGTGCCTGCTGCAGCCTTGGGAATCTCCACTCCCTCAGCTTAGCCTGGGAACACTTGGGAAAACAGCCTTTCATTTGTCCAAGGAAAACAAACTCCAGCAGGAAAGGAGCTTTGGCTATTTTTTCCTGCCCCTATTGACAGGCAGATTCCTCCCACTTCAAAGCTCCTCAGCTGGAAAATTGCTGCCTTGGGAAGCTGAAAAATCATCCTAAACAGGACTAGGGTGGGAATTTGGCTGCAGTGAGGGCTGAGGACAGTAGGGCAAGGCTGGGGTTTGCATGGAGTTGATGCTTCCAGCAAGCCTGACTTCTCATGGCTTGGCTGGGTGGACCTTTCCATGGCTGATGGCCCAGACAGTTGTGGGGAATGGAGCTAAATCCACTTGGGGCTGTCACTAGTGCTGTTCCCCAGGGCTCAGTGTTGGGGCAGATCCTGTTGAACATCTGCATTGATGATCTGGGTGTGGAGATTGAATGAACCTCAGGACATCTGCAGATGACACCAAGCTGGGTGGGAGTGTGGATCTGCCTGAGGGTAGGGAAGCTCTACAGAGAGCCCTGGACAGACCCATCCATGGGCTGAGGACAACTGCAGGAGGGTCAGGAGGGCTCAGTGCTGGTCCTGCCCTTGGGACACAACCACCCCATGCAGCTCCAGGCTGGGGGAGCAGTGGCTGGAGAGGTGTTGGTCACAAAGGGACTTGGCAGTGCTGGTGGCACAGCTCAGTGGGAGTCAACAGTGTGCACAGGTGGCCAAGGAGGCCAAGGGCACCTTGTCCTGGCTCAAGCCCAGTGTGGCAGCAGGACTAGGGCAGTGCTCATCCCCCTGGACTGGGCACTGGGGAGGTCCCAGCTCAGTGCTGTGCTCAGCTTTGGGCACTCACTGCCCAAAGGCCATTGAGGCACTGAAGTGTGTCCAGAGAAGGGCAGCAAAGCTCATGAAGGGTCTAGAACACATGTCCATTGAGGCTCAGAAAAGGTCTAGAACACATGTCCAATGAAAGATCTAGAGCACATGAAGAAGGGCTGAGGGAACTAGGTTTGTTCAGCCTTGAGAAGAGGCTCAGGGGTGATCTCATGGCTCTCTGCTGTTGATGGACACCCATGGGAATTGGGGGGTGAGGGAACAGCTCTGCCTCCATAGCAATGATTTTGCCCTCCTTCTCCCTGTGTGTGGACACTCCTGTGCTGCTGCAGTTCTACCTGTGCATGGCTGAAGGTTGCTCAGAGGGTTCCATCCTGCTGCACTACAAGCACACAGTCTGTGCCTTCCTCACCTGCTTCATCTTCGCCAGTCACCTGCCAGAGAGACTTGCCCCAGGCCACTTCGACTATATTGGTGAGTGCTCACAGGCTCAACTGGCCTTGGGTCCTCAAGATTCCCAGGAACAAAGCACCTTGGTACAGGAGGGAATCCCAGGGGATATGTGTTCCCTGCTGGACGCTCCAAAATACTTGCTATACTTATTTAATTGTCACTAAAACGGAGGTTCTCTCTGTTCTCCTGCCACAGCTCAGAGCTCCTGAGCACAGGAGATCACTCGAGATACTTAATTGACAGTAAAACTGGGGATTAGGTGGAATTTGTGGTTTCAAATTGAGTTCAACCCCCTGGAAACCTCGACCTGGAGTTCAACCTTAAGTCACCTCATCCTTCTCCCCAGTGTCCCCATTGATAGACAATTCCTTGTCTGGAAGTTTGGTCTTCCATGGACTTGTCCTGAGGGGTTTGTTCAGGTGTCACAACACCTCACTTGAAGCTTTATTTCCCACCATGGAGCATTTCCTACAGGAATAGATACTCCCTGCTGGAAGTCCCAAATGTAGGAGATGCTATAGGAGATACTGTCTCCAGTGTAGGGGATGCTACAGGAGATACTACCTCCAATGCAGGAGATCTCATAGGAGATATTGTCTCCAGTGCAGGAGATGATCCTATAGGAGATACTATCTCTAATGTAGGAGATGCTATAGAAGATACTATCTCCAAGGCAGAAAATGCACCTCCCTCACAGGGAACAATTCCTTCCCAATATCCCATCTGTCCCTGCCCTCTGGCAGTGGAGTGGGACTGTGTCCTGTCCCTCCAGGCCTTGTCCCAAGTCCCTCTGCAGCTCTCTTGGAGCCCCTTTAGGCCCTGGAAGGGGCTCTGAGGTTTCCCTGGAGCTTTTCTTCTCCAGGCTGAACACCCCCAGCTCTCCCAGCCTGGCTCCAGGGTAGAGGCTCCAGCATCATGGAATGGTTTGGGTGGGAAGGAACCTGGAAGCTCATCCATTTTTACCCCCTGCTGTGGGCAGGGATGCCTTCTGCTAGCCCCAAGTTGCTCCAAGCCCCATCCAACCTGGCCTGGAACATTGCCAGGGATGGATCAGCAAGAGATTCTCTGGACAAGGTGAATCCCCAGGAAGTTCCTTGAGTGCTTTTGGCTCTGTTGCAGGACACAGCCATCAAGTGTTCCACGTCTGCGGCATCCTGGGCACCCACTTCCAGCTGGAAGCCATCATGCTGGACATGGCTGAGAGGCACAGCTTGGCCCTTTCCCTGCCTCCCTCCTCCCTGCAGACCCTCAGCTCCATGGCCATCAGCATGGCCTTGAGTCTTGCTGTCATCACTCTCTGCTCCTTGTCCCTGCCCTTCATGCCAGAGCCTCTGCACAGGGAGAAGCCTCACAGCCACTAGGCTTTGGGACTGGAGAATCCATGGGAAACACCTTAACCTAGAGGTGTTGATGTGGATAAGGATTTGATCCTATCAATATTTATTTAACCCCTTCTCAAGGGCAGAACTTCCTGCACTGGTTTTGCCCTCAGAGCTTTAACACTGGGGATGGCTTCAATGCTTTGCCTTGAGTTGCTACTCACCAGAAAGGCTTCAAATCATCCTCATTTTAGCTGGAAAAAGGGAGAGAAATGCTCCTGCTTCCCAAAGCAATAGGCATTCATCAGGTTTGCCTTAGGGGGAACATGGGTGACATTGATGTCATCAGTTTAGACCAATGGTCTTGGTGAAGGCACAACAAGAGTTATGGAGATAACTCCTGTTTTCCACCTGGAAAGTGAAATTACTGTGGGATTTAAAACCTCAACTAATTGTCTTACACAGCCTTACACTCACCCCAAGTGCCTGACATGTGAGATTGAGGGACTAGAGCTCACTTTAGTTATCACCCAGAAACAGCTTCCATGAGATGTTCCTCCAGAATTGTTTTTGGGGGATTCTGCCACATAGCTAAGTCTTGGGATATTAATCCTATGGGAATGGTGAGTTCCCATGTGGGTGATTCAGCTGCATCCCTTCCCAGGTTTCTGGAGGTTGAATACTGGGCTGGATGCATCTGAGGGTTGAGTTGGGAGAGCCTCAGCCTCTGGAGCTCTGTGGTTCTGGGGTAGAAGAATGTTGGTAATGGCTTTATTGGAGGAGGGAATGGGGTGGGAGTGTCCAGGGAGGATCAACCATCAGCTGAGGGAGATGTGGGTTCTGTGTATTGTGGGAGGAAAGGAAGGATTTGGGATAGCTGAGGCGATTCAATGCCAAGGGATCAAACCTTGTGATCTTAAAACATTCCTAGAGTTAGTCTCTGCTCATCCAGCAACTTCCCTCGGCTCCCTCTGCTGTTCCTTGCTCCTCTTTCCTGCTGCTCCTGGATTTGACAGCCTGGAGGGCTCAGCCTGGTCCAGGCAAGGGACAGCTCAGCTGGAGGTTTTTCCCTTGGATTCTCCTCCAGGAACAAGTGAGTTATCCCCTGCTTACCCAGCAACTTCCCTCTGCTCCTGCTGCTGTTCCTTGCTTCCCTGTCCTGCTGCTTCTGGATTTTATAGGCAGAGAGCCTGGAGGTCTCAGCCTGGAGCTCAGCTGGTGTCTCCAACAAGGTTTTCCTTTGGATTCCTTGGCTTTTTCCCCTTGGATTCTCCTCCAGGAACAAGCCCCACCAAGCTCACTGCTAGGGACTATTATCAAGCTGCTTGATAATCATACGGGTGTTTAATTAGGGTTTTAATTGCCTCTACCAAGGCAGAACTGATGCACTTTGGAGTGACAACCCAAGAGCTCGTTAAATATGGGATAAATTAATCTTTCCTTGGCAAGCTGACCAAGATTTATAGGAATATTTATAAGCACTGGAATGTAATTGTTGTATTCAATAGGTTTATTTCAGGAGAAGTAATAGAAATCACTGGTTGAGGCTAAGCTGATTGGGAGAGTTGATAAGGATAAGGCTGGGAAAATTAAGCCCTTTGGAGTTAATTGCAAAGCTGATTTTCCTGGAGGCCTGGGAGGAATCCTGCTGGAAGAGCCGAGAAAATCCACATGGATCATTGCACATCTTTTCTAGGCCATTTCACCTCTGAACTGAAGTTCAGGTGAAATAAGTTGTAGGGAACCTCCATTAAAATCTAGCCCTGTGTTCTGGGGTATCAGAATCCCATTGGATCCTTTGACTGTGCATGTGGAATGAGGGAGGTTTGTCCAGGTTTCTCCTTCAGCTACACAGAGGCCTTCTAAAATCGATTTCATGTGCTCATGTTGTTCACAGAGGGAAGAAAAACTGTGTCAGATTGTGAGGAGGAAATAAAGGAGGATATTTATTTCTTGGGATGTGTTTTGGTTGTGTTTCTGTGCCCAATCCACAGCAAATTCCAAACAAAGTGTCAATTTATGGATCAATTTGCAGAGAACATCAATGATCTGCTCCTCACACCTGAGTCTGACAGGTGAGAGAGAGCTGGGGAAGTGCACCTGGAGAGGAGAAGCTCCAGAGAGACCTCAGAGCCCCTTCCAGGGCCTAAAGGGACTCCAAGAGAGCTGCAGAGGGACTTGGGATGAGGCCTGGAGGGACAGGACACAGGGAATGGCTTCACACTGCCAGAGGACAGGGAGAGATGGGATATTGGGAAGGAATTATTCCCTGTGAGGTGCTGAGGCACTGGAATGGATTTCCCAGAGCAGCTGGGCATCAGGATCCATGGCATAGGGATCCATGGCACTGGGATCTGTCAGTACTGAGATCCGTGGCACAGTGATCCATGGTACTGGATTCCATGGCACTGGGATACATGGGATACATGGAATACAGGGATATGACAGCACTGGGATCCATGGCACCAGGATCCATAGCAGTGGGATCCATAGCACCAGGGTCTGGCTGTACCAGCATCCATGGCACTGGGATCCATGGGATCAGATCGCATAGCAACTGGGATCCATGGCACTGAGATCTGGCTGTACCAGGATCCACAGCACCGGGACCTGTGGTACACATGGAATACAGAGACTTGGCGTCACCAGGATCCATGGCACTGGGATCCTGGGATCCATAGCACCAGGATCCATGGCACTGCGATCCTGGGATCCGTAGCACCAGGATCCATGGCACTGGGATCCTGGGATGCATAGCACCTGGATCCATGGCACTGGGATCCTGGGATCCATAGCACCAGGATCCATGGCACTGGGATTGAGTGGTACTGGGATCCAGCACACCAGGATCCATGGCACTGGGATCCTGGGATCCATAGCACCTGGATCCACGTCACTGGGATTGAGCAGTACTGGGATCCAGGGCACCAGGATCCATCCCATCAGGATCTGGTGGTACCGGGATTCATGGCACTGGGATCCGTGGTACCAGCATCCACCATACACAATGTACGGCACCGGGATCCGTAGATGGGATCCGATGGTCCTGGGGGGTCTGTGGGCTCCATGGGACACAGCGACCTGTCGGCGCCGGGATTCGAACCCGCGGTTGCCTCACCACCTCCGGCCCAGCAGGGGGCGCTCGGCCCTGGCCACGCCCGTGGCCATGACAGTCACG